TCCAGTTTACCATGGGAGTCCAGTTTACCATGGGCAGGAGTCAGCAACCTGCGGCTCCAGAGCCGCATGCTGCTCTTTAAGGACTGCTTTGTGACGTTACTTATTGAGGACCACCACCGGCTCGTATTCACCACATGCATTGCAGCTCTTGAAACATTGAGGTTGTTTTAGCGAATTCGACAAAAATGTCTCTTCTCGATGTCGTCCAATAAGTAATTCACAGAAACTAAGGAAATACACCACACACATATTGACATATTAATTAGACTGTATACCCTCCGGAAAGCAGGCTATTACTGTGAAGCACGTCTAGGAACTATATACACACATTGGTGAACTTGTACATTTACAATGTCTGTTAAAGGGAGTTGACTTTGCCATATATTAACAAACGTGATACCTATTCTTGGTTCTTTCGGTAAAGTCACGAAAGAACCTAGAATATGAATCCCTGCAGTCACGAAAGCTTTAAATCAAAACATGATACCACTAACAAGTGATGTTTCCCATTTAATTGGCTGTTAATGACATTTCAACACTTTTGCAGCAAAGGGAATCTGTAATTTCTCAAAAAGTAATTAGTTGTTGGACACATTCAATATCGTCATGGTTTGGATATACAGTGCGTATTATCTTCGTTTACTTTTATGCAAAGAAAATACCCATTTGGCATTATTTTGTAAAAAATGTTTTAAGTCCAACTGTTGCAAATACAATTCAGTCTTTTTCCTCCAAAACTTTCACCTTGGCCAATATCAGTGCAAAATAATCTGCATGATGGGTATTCAACATTTAACGGCTTGCGTAAGCGTTTCCTAAAACGAGATGTTTGGCTGGCACTTTACAGCGATGTATCTGGGAGCACAATGACCAGCTTGGCAATATGGGACTCCTTCTTTTAAAACAAGGGAGTTCACTCCACTGTGCTTAACGTGTTGCTCGTTGTATGCTGTATCGTGCCCTTTAATGAGGGATGTGGTATGAATGTCATTTGATATCGCAGTACTATGCACAGGGACAGATTAATACAGGGGAGTCAAGAGTTTGTAGCCCGAGGTCTGAGATTTTGAGGGCCCCCAAATATATACAAATACTGTATATACTGCTTTAAAATGGTTGAAACACAATACCATAGCACTATGATACATCATTTAGGTGACTGCATTAAAGCCACAGCATCACTATGTGAAATACTATTGTAATTATGTGCCAACAAATAGTTTCGTTAATTTTAACTTTGATCAAAGCTTGAGATTTGTATATCACATTTTGAAAACTGTAACGAAAATAACCAAGTAAAAAAACAAGGAAGTGTTTCGATTTAAAGCTTTCGTGACTGCAGGGATTCTTCTTCTTGGTTCTTTCGGTAAAGTCACGTAGAAGGAAATAATAACATAATAAAAATAAAACATAATAAAATAATTCTCACGACGTTTCGACTCTGTCTCCTTGACAGACCTGTTCTCCACCTGAAGACGGCTGCTTGCGTTGTGGCCGGAACGTCGTGAGAATTATTTTATTATGTTATATTTTTATTATTTTATTATTTCCTTCTATGTGACTTTACCGAAAGAACCAAGAGAAAAAAAAGGAAGTGTTTGGCATTGGGCATAGGTGGTGGACTGATGGCAAAGGGAAGGAATTGGATACACTGTATTCCCGCGTTATTCGCGAATTTGCTCTACGCGATTTTGGCTATCCGTGAATCACGTCTGTAACTCTTATATGACCGCATCGATAGCAAAAAAGTGATGAGAGATAAAGAGTTGTTATTCTAATAATGGGCATGTATGTAAGAGCTTATTTATGTAGTTGTCTAATGTAATTAATTAAAATATATAGGTTTTCGTAGTCCATTATAATTATCTGCGACATGTGCTATTCAAGAGCGTCTCCGGAATGTGTCCCTCGCGAATAACAAGGGAATGCTGTCCACAAAAAGGGCCCCCAAAACTTGACTGTGGACGCACACACACTCGGAAAAGTGCAACATTGGAGCACACGGGCTGGACGGATTAGGGCATGTGGCATGCGATGTTCACGCTGCTTGTAAACCAGAGCTTTGTGCATTCAAGGTTTTTGGGCTAGATCGCGTAAGTATACGTGTGTCGTATTGGTAGGAACCTCCTGGTTACACCAGCCCACAGGGGATTATTGTGTCCGTCCGTCCGTCGTGCAGGGAGGGGCTGGGTGGGGAGGGTGGGGCTGGGTGGGGAGGGGCTGGTCACCCCGTGGTGCCCTTATACAACTCAACGTTTAACCTACTCACGCCGGCTTGTGCCCGCCCTCACAGTCGGCCATATTTGCAGAATACACCACGCCGCCGTTGACCCTGGCCATTGACCGAGCAACCCAACGTTCCTACCAGCTCCCTCCGCAGGAATGTGTTTTACCTGCCATCACCAGACACAGCCGACCAATAATGTTTGTCTCGTAAACAGAACGCGCCAATTAGTTACTGCCTTCAGTATCGTCGGGCGATTTTTCCAGAATTTTGCCAAAATCTACGCCTGTTGCTGCTGCATGTAATTATGAAAAGTAAGGTGTTACCCTTTCTGACAATAAAACAGGTGTTAACATATGGAAACACCAAATATAAACCTTTTGCAAAGTATTAAGTACTGCATTAACCACACGTGCTTGTGGTGAACATGCAAACAAACATGTTCTGATAAGTAAAGTCACGTAGAAGGGAAGTAATAAAATAATAAAAATAAAACATAATAAAATAAAATAATTCTCACGACGTTGAAGATGAATCCCTGCAGTCACGAAAGCTTTAAATCGAAATGTTCTGATAATACATGGCATTGTCTTTGAAACGTATTGGGCTACACCAGACAGCCTTTTTGAATGATTATTAAAACATTATATTGTTATTAAATATCTGTATTTGTCCTGTGTTTGTACTTCACTGTATACTGTACACAGAATACGAATCATGCAGCAGTGAAGGTCAGTTGGATGTAATGGAAATTCTGCCTCATTCTCGGTGCATGAAGAACGTTATTTAATATGCATCTCATTTATACAGTACATCATTGCGATGATTGACTTTGATTTTTGACCATTTTAACCAAGTTCCCAATTGGCTAGAACCACATTTTTTTTTATATACGTGAATGAAGGTTGTTGACAAACAATCTAAGTGTTGACCTAATCTTTTGAACCAAAAATAGGGTCACCAAACACGTGAAACCCTAAGCGTGAGCGTACGAGCAAGAAACCACAGTGGGGCGTCAGCTACAACGTGACTTCTAAACGTACATCAGACTCGTGCAGCATACAGAATTGATACATCTAAGCTAAAATAAGTATAACAATGGATGGCACATTATCTTTGAAAAACACGCAATTGGCCTCCTTCACAAGTTAACACACATCAATTGGTGATGCTGCACTGGCAGTGGTGCACAAATAGTTTACAACATACACTACAAATTCGTTAATAACACTGCCTTTAACGCAGTGTTCTTGGCAAATGTGGTGAGTTTTTTTTCCTTCTCGTTCACAAGAATGACTTTGCATGCCGATGGGATGAGGCCACAAAATGTATTAAAGCCTCCAACCATAACGTCCAGCGCTCCAGATAAGGTTTGCATTGGGAGCTTTACGCATTATAAAAATATTAATCACCGTACGTATGACATTTAAAAACGGATGCGTGTGAAATGTGATCCTTGGGGCCCAGGAGGTGGAATTAAGTAACGTGTATCACCAAACGACAATGCGCTGTTTTAATTATTTTTAAATAAAAATACTGCACGTTTTTGTTAAGCATAATTTTAAAAAAAATATTTCAATCGATAAACTCTCAGGTTTGACAGAATGAGTCCTTGTGCAGGGAAGTCAACTTTTTGTACGGAAGTTTAGAGGGACATTGCAGTTCAAAATGTAAAGCCCTAGTTAATGCACAGACAATGGGTTGTAATGCGTATGTCGAAATTACTCAAGACTTTAAGCCAATGCTAGATTTCACTGCATGAAAATGCATTTTAGTCACATAGCCTCAAAATTGCGGGGAGCATTACAAAGACACAAACCTTAACTGGAGTGCCGACATCGGTGTTAGGAATGGGACATTGCATTGGTACCTTAAAAAGGAAAGACGTTTGTGAAAACATTGCTCAAATGCTGCATGTGACGTAACAATGAAAATCACTCCATGGACGAGCTTGGGAGATGACCTCCAGTCCCAGTGTTCTGTGAAACCTCGGGTGCTGCGCCGCACAGATGAGTCCGTGAGAGCTGCACACACCTATCCTCTCTTGCCAATCACCCCAAAGCAAACACACACGACGGAGGAGATGCAGGTAGAATTCCCCGTGGCACTCCGTGAGAGTATTTCGTAGGTGGGGTGTGACTGCCTTTGCCGTGAAGTAATTGGTTCCTCTCCTGATCAACCGCTGAATTATCTGGGTTATGAGCAGCAGCAGCAGCACACGAGAAACACCAGGCAGCTCGGAGAGATGTGTCTGCGAGGGGAAGCATTTGATTCATTCTGTTCGAGTAAGTGTGAGCACTGCAACATCACATTTTGATTGAAGCAGGACAGGTATTAAAATAAAATTCGCTCCCCATTTTTTGACGCACGCTTCTGTCTGTAAATGAAATCAGCCATACAGATTTAGAACGACCTTGGATTCGTGGCGATCACTGTTAGAAATGAGCTATGCAATCAAACGACTGCCCAGATCTTGTGGACCAAAATGAGCCCTATGCATCTCCTCGAGCAGAGGGGTTCCCTTACAGAATATACCCAACTGTACAGAAAAAAATGGGTATCTATATATATAAAATCGTTCATGTCTGTGTGTCTGTGTGTGTGTGTGTGGACTGCACTTTCATTGGACGGCGGTTGCCCCTGGCAACGGCTAGCCACGCCTTCGCCGCTTTCATTGGACGGCGGTTGCCCCTGGCAACGAGTAGCAACTTTTCTCCGCGGGGTGGACGCCATTTTTAATAGCGCGGGGGGGGGGGGGGGGACCGGCACCCGTACCCAGCGTTCGCCGGGTGGGAAAATCAGGCAAGGCGGGAGGCTCTGCACGGTGCTAGGCCTCGACACCCAACACGCCACTCTGAGGTAAATTCATACAAATTTCACGTCCTCTACAGAGTGGCGAGGGAGGCAGAGTGGCGAGGGAGGCAGAGTGGCGAGGGAGGGACTCAGCCTCAAAACGAGTAACTGGTGTGGCGTATTAACATCGCCACTGGGGAGACAAAGGCGGCCGGGCGTGGTGGATACAAGTCCCGGGCAAAGCCGGGTCATGACTATGTGTGTATGTGTTTATGTGTATGTCTGTGTGTCTGTATGTATGTGTGTATGTATGTGTCTGTATGTGTTTGTGTGTATGTATGTGTGTGTCTGTATGTATGTGTGTGTGTATTGTGTATGTGTTTGTGTGTATGTATGTGTGTGTTTGTATGTATGTGTTTGTTTGTGTGTATGCATGTGTGTGTATGTGTTTGTGTGTATGTGCGGTTATGTATGTGTGTGTATGTGTGTGTCTGCAGCAAGCGCGTGTATGTGTACCTATGGACGCGCGCGCGTGTGTTGTGTAGGGGGAACGGTAGTGTAGTGCTTAGCGTACTGCCTGTGTCTATGTGTGTGTGTGTGTGTCTGTGTGTCTGTGTGTGTGTGTCTGTGTGTGTGTGTCTGTGTGTGTGTGTCTGTGTGTGTGTGTCTGTGTGTGTGTGTGTGTCTGTGTGTGTGCGTGTGTGGTGTGTAGGAGGAACGGTAGTGTAGTGCTTAGCGTGCTGCCTGTGTGTGTCTGTGTGTGTGTGTGTCTGTGTGTGTGTGTCTGTGTGTGTGTGTCTGTGTGTGTGTCTGTGTGTGTGTCTGTGTGTGTGCGTGTGTGGTGTGTGGGGAGCGGTAGTGTAGTGGTTAGCGTGCTGTCTGTGTGTCTGTGTGTGTGTGTCTGTCTGTGTGTGTGTTCTGTGTGTGTGTCTGCGTGTGTGGTGTGTGGGGAGCGGTAGTGTAGTGGTTAGCGTGCTGTCTTTGTGTCTGTCTGTGTCTGTCTGTGTGTTTCTGCGTGTGTCTGTGTGTGTGTGCGTCTGTGTGTGTGAGGAGCGGTGGGTGTAGTGGTTAACGCTACGCTGCGCTACCAACCCGGCGAACCGAGTTAGATTCCCGCTCATGGCCACCACCGATCAAGATTATTTGAACCTCACATAGGTCGACTCAGCCTCAAACGAGTAACTGGTGTGGCGTATTAACATCGCCACTGGGGAGACAAAGGCGGCCGGCCGTGGTGGATACAAGTCCCGGGCGAAGCCGGGTAGTACAGCTAGTATTCTATAGAAGCAGTCACTCATTAAACAGAGGCAGTGAGTGGACAGCACGGATGGCTGGGAGATCCAGACTACGGGGGTGGCAAGGGAGCGTGGATGATCTCCTGCTGAGCGAAGCTTGACTGGGGGCTCTGACGAAAGTATTTGTTGCTGTTAAATGCCGCACATGCCTGATGATGAGTAAACAAGTCCCACACGATGCAGACAGCGCCAATTCAAACTGAGATCGAGATCCTATGTGTAGCGAGTATGTCTCACATGATGTATGGAGAATGCCAATTCAAATTACATTGCCCTCTCTATATGTTATGGTACATGTTTACTTATCGTCAGGCATGTTCAGCATGTAACAACTTCATGTCTATTAAGACAAAAAAACAACTGGTATGCGTCGAAAGGCATACACCATGGGTGTATCACAAGAATCAGAATATATCGGAAACCAGAGGTCGCAAACGGGTTTTGATTACTTACCTGTACCCGTACCTGGCCGCACCAGGGTCGCAAATAGGTACCCGTACCCGTACCCGGCCGGGTACGGGTACCCGTTCCTTACCCGTACCCTACCCGAAATGAGTGACAAACGGTTACTCACCGGTGACTCACGGCCTACCCGTACCCGTACCCGGCCGCACCAGGGTCGCAAACGGCTACTCGTACCCGGTCGGGTACGGGTAGCCAGGTATCCGGTCGGGTACGGGTAGCCAGGTATCGGGTAGGGTACGGGTATCGGGTACCCGGTTGCGACCTCTGTCGGAAACCCATACCATGCAAAAGCAGCCCTTCTGTTGGCTGCTTTGAGGTCCCTATCAACAAGAAGTGACGCTTCGTTAATTTTCCATTGGGTCATACCAACCCAAGTGGTGTGGCGACTTTGTAGGCTGTTAAACACGTGGCTCATCCAAGCTTGTACATTTTATCTACAGCTTATGCGTTCAGAAGGCAGCACGTAAAATATAATCACAAAACCGCTTTTGCACGTCCACTTGGTAAGACACTAATCCATCACATTGTTGGCTATTGTCTGGTGAAAAAAATTGATGCAACATGGCAGGACGTTAGATGCAGACTTAGGCACCCTCTGTGGGCTAATGATCACGAATTGATAATGTTTTATTGGAACCCTCTGGACAAAGCAAGTCTTCAATTCGACACCATCCTCTCACACGCCTCACGCCTGGAACAAAGCACTTACTGCCAAATGGCAAATGCCGCAATAAAGGCAGCGGCATAATAATACTCAAGTCAGCAGTCGAGCACAGAGACGTAACTGCACCGACTTCTTTTGTAGCCAAACGGCGCTCCCCCACCCCATCCCCCACAGCGCACCGACGCTGCGGGGCCGGTGGCTGCACAAGGCGAGGTCGACGCGACCTTGACAATATCGAGTGATTATGACGAACGATTCCCGAGATTAGAAATAAACCAATACGGTGGAATGACAGCTGCTGCTTAACAAAGGGTTGATGATTGCGACCAAGACGGTGAGGGTGGTGGTGATGATGATGGAGATGACGCAAGATGCTGAATTTCGATTTAAAGCTTTCGTGACTGCAGGGATTCATCTTTTTGGTTATTTCGGTAAAGTAACGTAGAAGGAAAATAATAAAATAATAAAAATAAAACGGCTGCTTGCGTTGTGGCCGAAACGTCGTGAGAATTATTTAATGTTTTATTTTATTTATTTTATTATTTTCCTTCTACGTGACTTTACCGAAAGAACCAAGAAGAAGATGCTGAATGTTTAGGGTTGATTTTTGGCGGTTTGGGGGTGTCTCTGGAAACAGGCGAGCGAGCACTTCTCCTGTTCTCCCGTTGGGCTCAGAAGCTCGCAGGGGTCGTGCTCGTGACCCACGTGAGCCGGGAGGCCTGCCGGTGGCGTGTCCTCGCCTTCAGCCTCGCCTGCACACCCAACACGCACGCACAGGTAAGGTCAACATGCACTATGCACACGCGCATACACACAGGTGAGGTCAACACTATACACAGGTGAGGTCAACACAGGTGAGGTCAAGACAGGTGAAGTCAACACAGGTGAGGCCAAGACAGGTGAGGTCAAGACATGTGAGGTCAACACACAGTCCACAGGCAATCACACACAGGTCAGGTTAACATAAACAGTGCCCACACAAGTGAGGTTATCACACACCAAGCTACTGAGCACACACACAAACACAGCTCCCACTGCCTGAATACCATTTTTGCTTTGTTCGTATTTCTAACGTTCAATTCCAGGAATATCACTGAATGCATTAAGCTTATCATCGCGCCTGCCAGGTGTATGCGACTCTGCTGTTGTTGTATCTGAATATGAATTGCTAATAGGCTTACCCACGTGCACACACTGTTTCCCCCTCAACCAAGTGAATTAAATCAAAAGTGTCAAAGTGTCTCCCTGTACAATAGGACTCATCTCCATTCTTGGCTCTGAAACCGGCAATGGAAATTCCACATTCTAATAGCAGCAAGGGCAAGTATTTTAATGCCACAAATACCTTACTTGTGTAGGGACTGTGCTTGTCACTGTATGGCGCCGGCGCTTGCGAAGCCATGGCCGGTAATGTGGTGTCATTTCGGGCAGCCCGGGTTACGGGATGTAGTACCAGCCCTAGCGGGGCTTGGGTGAGCGCTGGTTAGCGCGGAGGCACCGCGAGCAGTGTGCGGTGTGGGCTCCCGGTGAGGGAGCAAGAGGGAGCATCAGCCAGCCAGGGTTACTTTGGGGCATGATACGTTGGTTGACCCGCTGTCACGTGACCGGATGATATTGGAGGGGGGATGTAGGGCGGTCACGTGGTCCAAAGGAGCTCTCGGGAACCTTCGAGAAGGAGCTCCCTGGAAGGTGGGCGGGGCTAAGGGCAGAGCCAGCCCCAGCCCGGGGGCATATAACGAGGGCTCCGTGAGGAGCTCGAGGTTCTTCGTGTGCTGGTGTTACGAAGATCCACGTCGGGGAGAAGAAGTCTCTAGCCACGTGGTCCGGGACCCCGTTTGTGGTCCGGACCGGGATAGCGAACCGTGTCTAGATTCTGCCGTAGCGTGGTTAGATGGGCATTCGAGACCCGCGTGTAGATCGTGTTGTGTTGCGTGTTAATGCGGAATAAATAGTGTTGCTCCCAAGATAACGTCTGCGACTCAGTTGGACTCACTACACTTGTATAGTTTGTTAGATATGCTCATTCCTTGCTCACAATCTCACATGCCTGCTGGGAATGTAGAAGGAAAGAGTGATTTAAGCATTAATTTTGTGCAGTCTGTTTTTTCTTCATTAAGAACTTGCTGATAAGATGGGCATCTACACACTATTTAAAACATTTAATTAGATAAATATCAAAGTGTTTCACTGAGTGATTTACCATCAGTGGTGGAGAATAAAATCTGTACCTTTGATATTCTGGGTTAAAATCAAGGTTTCAGCCATCCGATTAAACTGGGTTCTCAAAATAAGTGAGTTGATGGTGTTAGCCTGGTCACCAACGATTGTGTGAAAGAACCATTACATTAAATGTGCGTGTTTAACCTAATTTGGCGTACATTTCTAAGCAGCAGCAGGGCGTGTGCGACACTGTGCCTCAAGCGTGTGGATGAAGGTGTTTCACTTGAAGTGGTCTTAGAAGCAGTTCTGTGGTCTCATCTTCTCTAACGCTCGGGTGATGCTATGCACCTCTCTGCGAGAGTTCTGAATGGGTGATGCTATGCACCTCTCTGCGAGAGTTCTGAATGGACAATTCTTCATCTCATGAGACGATGCCGAGAACACAATTGGACTACAGTTGGGGGAGGAAAACTCCGTAACATTCGTAAATATAATGTTTTACGTGATGCATTTGATATTACAAAATCCAATAGCTTTGCAATGTCAAAATCAGTATCCTGCACGGGTCTAGCAACCGTGAAGAGATACCGAAGATAGACACAACCCACTGTGTGTACCACTGAGATAAAAGCATCCTCCTATGAAGTATTGGATCTGAAAGGATATTTGAGTCACGCATCACGACTCCATTTCCTTCAACAGGAACAGAGAATCTGGAGACTTTCAAACACCGCATTTGAGGTATGAAAACAACACCAGGACCACAACGCAACGAATGACTGGGCTAATTTGATATTCTTCTTTATTCTGGAATGTTACCAATGTCACGTGTAATACGTCTACTGATTTTTAATGTCCATTACAAATGGATAAAACAAATGCTTTTGTCTTATTGCCAATTTTATTCTAATTGTGGTATCAGTAACCCTTCCTCTCAACCACCAGGGGCCTCGCTCCCATGCGAACTATGCTCCGCTGTGAAGATGCGGGCCGCCTACTCTCTACTCTATAGATAGAGGATGAAAGAATCTCTCCAACGTGTGACTTTGGAGCACCCAAACAAAGATTGCTCTCTCTCTTGGCAAAACTGTACCACTATATTTATTCTCAGGAGGGCAAAGAGGAACACATTCACAATCTCTTAAAGCCAACAACCGCATTTTGAAGTTAGACAATTTACATATATGATTGCTATACAAGCGTCATCCATAAGACACAACTGGTTCGATTACTGCTGAGACCCAGGTTGAGAATTTTGTTTCATTACTGGTGGCTAAAACCTGGATACAGACCCAGGATCTCAGTGGTGTGAGCTCAGAGTTCTCACTTCCAAGCCGTGAGTCACCCAGCCTCCTCAAAAATCATCATCATCACGATCCATCTGCAGACAGCCCGTAGGTGTGCGTCGGACATTTCGTCATTTGTTTCCACTTTCCTCTGTTTTGTGCCAATTTGCCCTAAAAAATAAAAAAAATATTTGTGAGGCTCAGAAGAGAAGGTCTGGTCAGCACCATGTCTCGCTAATCTCTTCTGCATTAGTCCCTGTCATAGGAATGTGGATTTTCCAGGAATTTTATTGGCAAACGGACATTACACGCATACTCTCGAAGAGTATACGGCCTTATGCTCTGCGTCTGAAATAAACTGTGGTAATGAGCGTCCCCTGCTGCTGAAATACCATAGTGGTTAAGAGCCTTACAACCAAAATCTAATTCTGAACCTGGAAATTATTGAAGAGCGCTGATGTAACTTATTGGAATACAGTTCCCTTACTATACTGTACCATGTTGTGTACGAGTTGAAAGAGCCATCAATTATGGATGCATTTTAAAACAAACAAAACATTCAGGGCAAGTTTATCTCAAAGAAGTGGAGCATCACCACACAATGGCAGTGTATTATAATTTTCAACCCATTGTAACGTTTAATAAGTCGTTATAACCAAGGGGCATTTGAATAAATATGTGAAATTTGCAGTGTCAAGTGAAATTGCAAATAACCCTTAGGGTTATCACCCCTTATTGAAGAATGTTAAGTCGAAATAAATGTCAAGTCTGTTGCTGTAATGTTGGAATCCTTATAAATTAGTTTCTGTATTTATTGAAAAGCTCAAGTGATCTTCAACACAAAATATTTAGGAGCAGCCATTCATCAAGTATTTTACAAAAAAATAGCTGATGATAGTTAGAATCCTTAATTTCGTGTCTTTAATGCAAAAAAAAATATTTCGAAAATAGATGATTGGTTTACCAACCTTTACCAATGTGGCAAAGTATGGTCAAACAGGCCCCATGGATGACACAGCATCGTGAGGTTTGAACTGACAAAAGGCTGCAAGTTTTAATACATATATATTTTGTAATGGCTAGTCACGTAACCAAAGACAAATTCGCGGTGTGCTTCTATGAATTCTGGATTCAACAATTGATTCTGTAAACGATCATCGACAAATGGATGATCGAATAACAATGGTGATGATTATGGAAATGATGATAATGATGACAATAGTAGTGATCCCGTTGAAGAATATGTTGCATTTGGTATCCTGTTAATGATTTTAACAATAATGACGTTGGTGTTGATGGTGGTGATGACAGTTGCTACAATGCTGATAATGACAAAAGACCACTGAAATGACGAAAGCAATGCTGATAGTAGTGACGATATCACTGATGACAATAATGCCAAAAAATATTAATAACGTTCAAAGTGGTTGAAACAATGACTTTGAAAATAGTGATAACAATGACAACCGCAATGATGATGACGACGATGTCTCTGGCGGGCGTCGTTCTGGCAGAGCGATGGGCCTTCTTGCTGACACACGCATATGCCGTGTTCCCCCACCCCAGTACCTCCGATTATCACGGTTGGCTACGTAGGGCACGAAATAAGTTCAACGCGCATACGGTACGTGTGTACATTGCTCACCCTTGCTGGCTGTGAGGAGCACATCCTCCGCCTCCCGGCCCAGGTCCACACTCAACGTCGCGTTGCGCAGCACGCCCCGCCGCTGCTGGGCGAGATCCTGCGTGGACTTGACGTGTCCGCTCTGGAAACCCGAGCTGCGGTCAAACACAAAACGCACCACCGGCGGCCCACTCAAGGCAACGAAGCCAACCTGCACAGACTTACTCAGGGCCATAGCAGCTCTGAGACTCCTTATGTTCTGTGCACTTGGAAACAACCCCCCCCCGCACCGCTTTTTTTTGCCTCTTGCTTATTTTCAAAGGAAATACAATTCATCGGTTTATATATATATAAAAATTAAGCTGTTTGATTAGCTTTTAAAATCGGTAAAATGGTTTTAGAGTCAGCAGACTAGTGCTTAAATCGGTAGGGTTGGCAGTTGTGATTAGAAAAAAAAATCAATTATTTGACGGTTCAGTTATTGTCTTACATATTACATTCACAAAAGTTTGAAGTGTTCTCAAAATGAAACGTTCAGTGGAGCTCACTCCGGTTGGCAGTCCTGAGCCAGTGGTGGAAATGCCATGATCCTATGGCAAGGATTTTTTGTTATCGAAACATCATGGGACAACCACGGCTGACTGCAGCAAATGGTGCAACCTCAACAAGTGCTGCTCATTTCATTGATGCCAAACAGATGAAGAAGTGGGGTCCATCGTGGCCTGGATGTCAACTCGTGCTCGTATAATTGGGTACCTCATTGCTGCTTTATTATACTAAACTATAATTTATGTTTTATTTTTACCAGGTAAGGCCCACTGAGCTCTACAGATATTTTCAGAAGCGACCTGGCTACAACGAAGTGGCTTGTCAAAGTGGAAATGTTTAGGAGCCAGAAACTCGAAACGCATGTTTCTAAATGTGGAGTGTAAAACCAGAGGACCCGGAGAAAAATCTACGCGACCACGGGGAGAACATGCAAACTCCAAATATACAGGTGTCGGGCCGGGATCGAACCCACGGCCTCCTGCATATCAGGCAAGGTACTTAACATCTCGCCACCATGGTGCCAACCGAGCAATGTCCTGGTGCTCACTGCGTTATGAAATGATGCAGTGAATCATCGATAAAAATCAATGATTATGCTGTTGACACATACAATGAATATTTCACGCAATAATTCACTTTTTACTCTTCATGAAAACGATAACAAAACTTGGACAAACTGAACAAGTGAAACAATACAAACACAAATCGTTGGGGATGAATCGCTACATGCCGTAGCCCAACATCAGGGCGATGTTACACTGCGACATGTAACACAACTAATTGTATGTATGCAGTACACGCATATACTCCACAGGAGTATATGATGTATGTAATCAGTGAGTTCATTTCCAAGTCAGCTGCCAGGCTTTGGTCATTAAAAAAAAGCAATCACGATCCTGTGTTGGTAGTGATGCACAAGCCAAACTAATTAAACCGCTCGTTGGTGAATAACGCTGCCTTAACACATTCCTGCGGAGGGAGCTGGTAGGAACGTTGGGTTGCTCGGTCAATAGCCAGGGTCAACGGCAGCGTGGTGTATTCCACAAATATGGCCGACTGTGAGGGTGGGCACAAGCCGGCGTGAGTAGGTTAAACGTTGAGTTTAATAAGGGCACCACGGGGTGACCAGCCCTTCCCCACCCAGCCCCACCCCTCCCAGCCCCACCCTCCCCACCAAGCCCCTCCCCACCCTCCCTTCCCAACCCAGCCCCTCCCCACTCAGCCCCTCCCCACCCTCCCCTCTCCACCCAGTCCCACCCGTCCCATTTTTGGATGCACGACGGACGGACGGACACAATAATCCCCTGTGGGCTGGTGTAACCAGGAGGTTCCTACCAGTAAAAGTATAAATATATGAGGCGACATTTGCGGCATACATGGCCCTTCATTTTTAATTAAATGTTCTTCATCCCAGCTCAATTGTGCACCAACAATCAGTCTGATACTCGGTCCGACAGCCCCTTCACAGCTCAAAGACCCGGCCGGCACTGTATTTGCGACCCATGTAACCATGATTGTGAACTACGTTTTTTATTTTATTTTACCAGGTAAGGCCAATTGAGCTGTACATCTCTTTTTCAGAGGGGACCTGGCCGCAATTGATGGCTCAACGAAGTGGCTTATCGCGTGGAAATGTAAAACAGCCAAATACTCTGAACGCGTGTTTCTAAATGCGGAGGACAAAAAAACGGAGGACTCGGAGAAAAATTGACGTGATCACCGGGAAAGAGACACCGCAAACTCCAAATATACAGCAGGGTTGTCATCGATCCCGCGACATCCTGTATACTAGGCGAGGTAGTTAAGATGTCCCCACTGTAGATTGAAACTAACATCTGTCCTGTATAACCATGAATGTAACAACTCTATTGTATAACATTTGTACTGCCGCAGGACGCCCCTGAAATAGAGCCAAACAGCACATTAGGCCCTTCCTGCTGAAACAAAAGAAAATCTACGTGCAGGTTTTACGCTCAGAACCCATGGCCATGATAAATGAACGGGTCTTTTGTCTCCGCCACTCAGCTGTTCAGCGTCACTAGATTGGCCTGCGAATGCGCAGCTGCTCCTCCGGTGCAGAGCTGGGCGACGATGCAGAAATCAAAGCGCAGCGCGTGCCCGGTGTCTGTACTTGCCCGTCCGGTCGTTCTAACATCCACAAGTGATTCGACTGCAGAGCACTGCGAGCAAGAGACGGTGTTCCGCGAAGTTCTGCTGCGACAAATTACAACGCGGAGCACAGACCCGACAGCACGGGCCTTTGGCCAGCATCCGGCGAGCGTCCGGCACGCCTTTTGGCAAGGCTCTCGCGCGTGCATATCTCGGTCGGTGGCGTGACTCAGCCCATCGCCAATGTGAAAGTGGATAAAATTCGTACCACATTGTGGGAAGTGCGCAGTGATTGCTCCGTGGAGAAACCAGCCGCCGCCTTGATACCGTGGAATTTTCACCCCTGGCTTAGGGGCCCACCAATGAGGAGGAACACCATCCTGTGTGCTTGCTTTGGCAGGGCGACACTTTGGCTTTGACAGTCCCACCGCTCAAAAGGAACTGCACCATTCAACTTCGTGGACTTCACTAAAGCGTTACAATGGGAATTATCAGCAAAGACAATTTGAAGACCAACCAAACTTGGACCTGTGTGAGGCATTTGTGGTCCCAGTTTTATGCAACAGGTCTGAGAATTGCTGGACCCTGAAGGAGAGAGGATGAACAAAAAAGATACCGTCAGAAGAAATGAATTGGATGAGAATGAGACTGGGAGTACCGAGACGACAACCTTTAGAAAATCAAACCATAAGAAAAACACAAGGACAGTGAGAGACTGTGGTGCAAAAGATACGAAGGTCCAGACTTTTTTGGTTTTGAACGTGCAACAAGAATGGAGGCCAACAGATTAACATCGATGGTCTCGCACCACCATGCGGAGGTCGCAGGCGGTCCGTGCAAGAGGTGGATCGACGGCATAATGGAGGACTTCAAGGAGAAAATTGAAGGTCTACAGGAAGCGATTGCCATGATCGTAGTAAAATAGGAGGGGACTAAGTTTATTATACGTTATCCTCAGCTGTCATGTGACAATTATAGGTTAATTGTGAATTATTTTTTTTATCAACATTGCCTCCTACTGGCAGACCAGACACACTTTTCAGATTTAGCACTGCTTCCCCTTTATGTCACATAGGGACAGCTGCCACCGGAGGGACCCTTTGGGCTAGATTACAGTCAGGCATTATTGAGATTAGACAGCAGGCGCTTTTAGTCGCTAAGATATGACGGCAACATCCTGATAAATCCTCACCTTCAGTTTGTTGTCCTTCCCCCGCACCTCCGATTAGCGCGGTTGGCTACGTATGGTGCAAAAAAAGTTCAACAACAATCGCCATTTGTCACTAAGTGGCACTGACGTTACCACGGCGCTTGTGCCAGGCCTTGTGCACTTTAAGGCCAAGTGAAGTGTCGAATGCCCGCTGGCAGGAGGTCACGGGACAGACCCAGGTTCCATGGATTGACTAAGATGACTGGCCGATGCACCACCTATCCCCCTTACTATGCCAGCTTGTAGCCGCCTGGGCGTTATGCTCGTTGTTGTGAGCGTCGCTCCTCTGCCCTCCGTTGTTGCTGGAGAGCGACTGCCTCCAACTGCCCAGTAGCAGCGTCCTTCGCGAGCCTCCTCCAAAGAGGCCAATCTTGACACTGCTTGTACCAGTTCTTGGCAAGTCCAAAGAAATTCAACACATCCACACAACTGACAGAAGGGAACAAGAAGAAGCTCAGGGCCAGACGGGCGCACGTCTCCCCCCCCCCGCCACACTCACAGCTCGGCCTGCAGCGCCAGAATGGTCGCCTCCATGCCCTGCCGCTTGACACGCCAGCCCAGGGTGATCTCGTGCTGCCTCTGCACGCCGGCCGCGTGCTGATCCGTTGCTTCGGCGAGCTGCGCCTCGCGTACGCGCACCAGCTCCTCCAGGTAGCACTGCCCCGTGGTGGTGGGTGGCGGGTGGGGTGGTGGGAGACGGAACGTGGAAAATAGAAAGGGGAAGCGGAATGACGATCAGTAATGTCCGGCGTCGTTCTACTAATTTTTGTTTTTTATTTGACCAGGTAAGGCCCACTGAGAAGCGACATAGCCACATAATGAGAGCTCAACGGAGTTGTTATTCACGTGGAAATGTATCGCAGCAAAATACTCTAAACGCACGTTGATTCTAAATGTGGCAGGAAAAACCGGATCACCTGGAGAAAAATACACGCGACCACGGGGAGAGAGACACGGAAACTCCAAATATGAAGGCATTAGGGTCGGGATTCGAACCGACGATCTATACATCAGGCGAGGTAGTTAACATCTCAGCCACCGCAGCGTCCTCAGGCTGCAGCTCACGACGTAACAACCCAACGGCACACGGAGGCGCAAGCACCCTGAGATGTTTTTAGGCAATGAACGAGTGTCTGTGCGTGTCACCTGCGGCGAGAGTGCACCGACAGCCAAAGGCGACTTCAGGTCTCGAATGTGGCCTCGTAGGCAGCAACATAGCAGGGGCACAGAGTCGGATATTGTCTCACCCCCCCCCCCCCCCCCCCCCCCAGTTTAGCAGACTCAGGTCTGAAATATTCACTACTCGTGGACAGCGAGTACGGAGCCAATTTTACCAGGAAAAATTATGTAAAGGTGCAGCCCTGCAATTGCTTGCTTTTTCCACTAATGGAGGAAGTACCTCCGCTGGCTCGAGAGAGTCCCCTCAAACAGATGTTTGGCCTCCTCTTTGATGCTGGTCAGATGTCTAAGAAGACGTCGGGGTTACCCGTACTTTACCCCCACCAGATGCATCTTGCTGATCGACTAATGGTGGACAGTGGCCGGAGATTTAAGAAATCTGCTGGTTGAAAGGGTAAAAACCTATCACTATATTTTGCCACTGGTAAAGGAGGTCTCATAGTGTAAATGCTTACCCCGAGCTCTCAATACTCTGATAGTGCGCTGTTTTTGAGTTGTACGCCTTTTGGCGTCATCTGGTCCAACACCAATGGAGACTAGGCTCTAAGAAAAGCTGTCTCGGGTGTGGACCAATCAACTTCGAGGACAGTGCATATCATTATCATTATCAGAGTTGTTTCTTTTTGTTTGCATTTTGACTGCTTGTGTTGTGGTTATTGTAAACATGATGCCTTGTATAATAAAGGTGTCAGTTTTTGTACCAGTTGAAAGGGTAAAAACATATCACTAAATCTGCTGGTTGTTTAACCCGCCGTGCAAGGAAAATAAATCGGTGACCTCCGGATTGCAAGTTCAGCGTTAACCATTTCACCGCCACCACGGCAGCACCCGAATTCCTAATCCTACCATCCAGTGGCATCGACACGTAAGTTCCAAACTTCACGCTGTGTTCATGATCTTTCCGAGCGCGGATGGAATGAGTGAGCAAGCTCGCAAATGTCTAGACGAAACTTTGTACCCGAGCGGAGCCACCTCTCCACGCAATGTACCTTCTGCTCGCAGGCCAGGCGGTACTGCTGCTCCAGACGCTTGTACCTGCTGTACCAGCTGTTCTCGTTTGCCAGGATCTCAGCGGGAGGGGCGTCCGGGGTGGCGTCCTCGCTGCTGCTGCCCAGCGTGCGCATGTCGTCCCCTTCGCTGCTGATCGTGCCATAGCTACACGGACACACACACACCGAGACAAAGACCCCCCCCCCACACACACATAGCCTCAATAGACTATTGGGGCAAGTGCTGTCGGGCGAGCAAACCTTTCAAGGCCGGCACGGAACACGAGAGGAGGGTGGGTAGCCAGCACCGCACCTTTGTCTCCCACAGTGGCGATGTTGACATATCGCGTCAGGTCCAGGACTGGTCCAGATAACTGTCACCGATCTTGGCCGTGAGCGGGAATTGAACTCAGGTTGCCGAGTTCGTAGTTCAGCGTGCTAACACTACCACTCCTCTAAAAATGTATACACATTCAAACACACGTATATACACACACAAAGCTCCCCCATGTACTCACAAATTTCCATGCAGACCAGTGATATGTACTGTTAGAGCCGGTCCTGTTAGAAAGCACCTATCAAATCTGCCAGGGCGGTGAGACCAACACCTTCGGCAGGCTGTTTTCCCGACGCTAATGTTGATACATCACACCAGATGCTCGCTTTTGGCTGCATTAAACTAAGGGAGTCCATAATATAGTTTTTTTTTGGGTTAGATCGCGTAAATATATAAATGTGTCGTTAAAACCCGCCACCACCCGACACAGCCAACTAGTAAGGGTTGTCACGTAAACAGAACGTGGCCAATTCGTCACTAGTACAGCACACCGGTGTGTTGGAGAGCCAAGCGACAACATTTACAATCTGAGTACGACGTTTCGGCAGTAATTACAACTAGCTTCATCAGGCAACAGCCAGATTTGTGGCTTGGCTCTCCAACACACTGGTGTGCTGTACTAGTGACGAATTGGCCACGTTCTGTTTACGTGACAAACTTTACTAGTTGGCTGTGTCGGGTGGTGGCGGGTTTTAGCGACACATTTATATATTTATAGGATCTAACCCTCGTCCACCCCCCAAAAACCTCTATTATGGATGATATTGGTCGCGAGAGCCCATGTGTTCAACTAATCTAAGGGAGATCCAGGCAAAGTGCAGATCCATTTTTGGACAGTGTTGTGCACGACCATGAATTGTACCCACGCCACGGGGATCATGTGTAGCACAGTACAATAACCACCGTGCCACACGCAAACACGGGTACTTGTGCACAAATGTACACGTGGACATGCGGTAGAACTGTATATTTTCTACATATTTATTCAATACATTGCAACGGCGACCTGTTATTCGGTGTTTTTCAGTGATTATGCAACGGTTGTCAACAAATCTCACCGAACGTATAAATCATTAGAGCTCCGTTACAGTGCACTCAACACACACACACGTGTGAAGCAAAAGACTAATTTCACACTTCTATCATAACACAAATTTGGGAGAGGTATGCCTCTGGACAGGCAGTGAGATTAAGAGCCGAGAGATGGCGGGAGGGGGCTGAGATGCGGGCACATGTAGACTCATCTCGAGCTGCCGCATGAGATTCTGCAAGCAACCAACAAGACGGCAATAACCAAACAAATATGTGCACGCACGCAACGCTGCTCACAACGCTCACGTGCCCTGCCATAGACTGGGGGCAAAACCACGCACTTAAAGGGCCGGCAGATAATGTGACAGACATGCGCACGCAGTGTGTCACGATGTCGGATGTAGATTTATGACGCTCTTCAGATGGGGTGATCGTAACAATCGTAATTATAATGCGTCCAGATTTTTTTTTTACGAGGGCAGGAATTATGTATAGATAAAAAACAATATATATATACCATGGAATCAGATGCACTCAGACAAACTTGATTTGCCATCGACGCCGTTGGGAGAGTGATGGTACATTAAGTGTTGTGCATCTGTCAAACCATTCGCTAATACTGGTAGGAACCTCCTGGTTACACCAGCCCACAGGGGATTATTGTGTCCGTCTGTCCGTCGTGCATCCAAAAATGGGAGGGGTGGGGCTGGGTGGAGAGGGGAGGGTGGGGAGGGGCTGGGTGGGGAAGGTGGGGAGGGGCTGGGTGGGGAGGGTGGGGCTGGGTGGGGGGTGGGAGGGGTGGGGCTGGGTGGGGAGGGGCTGGTCACCCCATGGTGCCCTTATAAAACTCAACGTTTAACCTACTCACGCCGGCTTGTGCACGCCCTCACAGTCGGGCATATTTGCGGAATACACCACGCCGCCGTTGACCCTGGCCATTGACCGAGCAACCCAACGTTCCTACCAGCTCCCTCCGCAGGAATGTGTTTGTACAACTACGCCACGTTTTACAGAACGAGTAGTAATACCTTCATAATAACGCCACATATGCTTTATTAGGATGTTTTATTTAGTAAATTTGACTGCAGGTCGCTTAAATTGAGGAATCTGCCGAAATCATGTTCAACCTAAACCATTAGTGTCGTGTTCTCTTGTTAATACGAGAACCTGGTCTCCCATTGCACGGACATTTCTCAATTTATAACAATAGTTATTCATGCACTGCAGCCACAATGCATCCCAGCCAATGTAAGTGGTTGTCCTTGGAGTGTTTCACTCGAGGAGAGTTGACATTTCAACACAAATAGATTATGTGAATTGTTAAGATCCAGGGCCATGATTTTTTATTCAACGGGCACGTTATTTTTCATCTCTCATTTGTCAGGGTGCTAATAATTGTGTTGACTCGATAAGCATGTCGCTTGCGTGTCGCTTGCAAAATCGATTCTCACACGCGTGAATGTGTCACTGTGGCGCTTAGCGCTGCTGGCGCGGAAGGGGATCGGCGGGTGTAGTAGCCCTGTCTGCCAGCAGGATGTGATGAGCCGGGAAGAGGGACGTGAGACAAGGGGGATAGAGGGGGGAACGTGTGGTCAAGCCCGGGAACCTTCCAGTGGGTTCTAGAAAGGGCAGATGAATAAAAGGGGAGCCCCGTGCGAGCGTTCGGGGCTGTTGTTGGAGTGTAACCGTCGTGCTGCTGGAGTCTTCGTCACCGTCTTCACCTCCTCGTCGGCGTTGTTGGTCAGGCAGCCTGTTAGCTGTCCTGACCATAGTCTCGTTAATCCTTGTGGCTGGGAAGGCGATAATAAATAAAGTACCTCCTACTTTGATTGTCTCTGTGTGATTCACTACACGTGTGTTGTGAACGTGAGAATCAACTGTGATTTTATGAATAGATGCATTGTTACATGGCTCCGGGAGAGGGCGGATGTGTGTCTCAGTGCAGGTCTCAGTGCAGGTTAACACGTGACATATGGCACTGATGCTTGCACATTATAACATAAACATTAATTACAGAAAGCACCCTGGGCACCCTTGCAAATCAGATGTTCCATTTCAAAGGATTATCCAGGTTTCATATTTTAATAAATAAAACAAACAAAAACTAATGCACTATTACCAAGGGTGTCTGCATAATAGATGCAATTTATGCTCATGCACTCGGAGGCAATTCTCTTATCAATGAAAAATTATACACGACTTCCTGTGAAAGCAGAACGTGCAACAGTTCTGAGGGGAATGAATAGTCTACCCAATATGCCCCCCCCCCTTTCTTTACTGGGAGTAAGGGGCATGACGACAGTGAGACTGTTAAGTTGTTTCCCCATTGACCAGAAATTTGAGGTTGAAAGCGTGTTCAGAAAAAGAGAGCAATTTAATCCAGAGTTGTCTCGGGCTAAGCTCAAGAAAAAAAGAGGAAATGTTGAGTTGATGAATAGCTGCATTGTTTCACCTGTAATTGAAACCACGATAGCGTCACTAATATATATCTCGCAGATCTTGCAATACTCTTCATGAGCATGAAGAATGGTGCACAGGAGATATACTGGAGTTGAACTGGGCCATGAGGAAGGCCTCCATGCATTTACTCCAATGGATTTGAGCGACGGCACTCACCTAAGCTCTCACGTTGGATTCAGCGACAACCTCATGCAAGTTGCTCTCAGCGCGAGACACCGGCTGCGGGACGGCAAATTCCCCGTTGCCTCGTGGCTCAGTCCAATCGATTAACAGACGCCTGCAATGCAATTCTCGGTGCCGTACCTCTGCGTGTATTTTAAGTACGGGGTGTAGTCAATGACTGCGTTGTTCTCATTCGCCAGGTCCTCTCCCTTCAAGCAAAAGCTGTAAGAAACGAGAAAAATATCCATGAGCAGCATTTTACACCGAGCCTCGGACAGAACGATGCCAACACGATCAGGCTTTTAACTATGAGACCTCCTTTACCAGTGGCAAAATATAATAGTAGGGTTTTACCATTTAAACTGGTACAAAAACTGACACCTTTATACAAGGCATCATGTTTGCAATAACCACAACACAAGCAGTCAAAATGCAAACAAAACGAAAACAACTCTGATGATGATATCATTATCATTATCGGCGTCATCTGGTCCAACACCAATGGAGACTAGGCTCTAAGAAAAGCTGTCTCGGGTGTGGACCAATCAACTTTTGAGTCCCCGAATTATTACGTGTGATTTTTAGTCCTGGTTGCTGGCTACATTTCCCCCTCATCTTGAGGAGTTAACTCTGCTGTGAAACTAAAGCCTCATGTTACACCGTGTGTTGACTTCTCATAACACATGCACACACATCGATTGTTATTATTTTGTATGCATTGCGTGACATAATTCAAGCGATTAGGAAAAGTGGGCGTGAAAATAAGTTAATTCCTCAGTGGGCTTTGTCTGTTAGGATAGGGATGGTTTAGTTTTATTTGTATGTGTTTGTGTTCCTGTTATTTGTTTGCCTTTCCTGTACTTTGCACTCATATCGTGTTTTTGTACTGTTTGTTGTTGTAACGTTCTGAGCCAGTGCCCCGACTGGACATCTGTGAAAAAGAGCTTCACAGCTCACCGGATTCCTCCTGCAGTATAAATATTCAGATTCTGATACATTCATGATGGAGTTGCAGCAAAGGATTGGAACCTCTCTGAGAAAACATCCACCGAGGAGATGGAGAAATGAAATCAACCCATGTGCAGTTGGCTAGGTAAATTGTTACACCTCAGGATCATGAGAGGTGACACTTCTGACAGCCTTCATCCAGCCATGGATCAAACATGGCTGATGATCATCACATGTACCAGAGATATGCGACGATTGTGTCTCAAATTGGATACAATTATAGCCGAAGAAGTAGTTATTGCTTCAGCTATGAAGATGATCGAAATGGGTTGATGCATTGCGTACATGCCAACCCCAAAGGGTTACTTACAATCAGTGAGGTCTTGAGAAAAACCCAAGAAACCCCAGTAGCAATCCAAGACAGAGAGAAACCCAAGCCAAAGAGAGAAAGAGTTGTTGAACCGTCCCAGAAGGGTGAGTCTACTTTTGGAGAAGAGGCAGCCATGGCGAGGAGTGACGCAATGAGTTTGCTTAGCAACAATAGAAGGCTAATGTACACCACTTAGTGAATACCATCCACATTGGACTGTTGCTATGAGTTTCCCACTGTTTTCTCATAGAAAGTCTGCGAGTAAAGATATCACTTGTGGAGCTGATCCTTGCATAAGACCTGAACCATCGGCAGCTGCCGGTGCCCTGCAGTAAACAGGACTGAGAGTAATTATTTACAACAGGTAAACAACAACAAAGGTGAGAATCCATTGCATGGCCTTGAGACACTCAACATTGTGAAAAACGGTGAGTCTTAGGCGTAGTCCTCGAACAAAAGGTTTAGCTTAGTTTACCTTGATGTCAATGCCGAGAAAAATGACTTATCAATACAATGCTTTTGAAATATGTGTTGACATCAACATAGTCATGGGAACACACTAAACGACCAACGAAGACGCACAGACACACACGCAATGCTAATGCATGTAACAGGAAGGCAGAATGCATCAAAGAAGGGTGCTGAAAACAGGCTTGGCATGGCCAATTTGACTGCAAAATTACCCCAGATTATCCGAGTGTAGAGCGTGCAGTCTCCGTGGAAGTACACTCGGATTAAATGAGCTACCTTCTGTACAGGATGAAACCTAATGGTTGAAAAATGAAAGACATTCGTTCATGAATTAATTTCCATTGTTGAGAACCAGCACACGGAAACAAAAATGTATCTTTAAAAAGGGGACCTGGATTCGGGTTGAATCGAACAAATAATGTTTCACACCAGAGAAAGAAAGCGTGCACGAAATAACCAAGACCAGGGGTCGGCAACCTACGGCTCCGGAGCCGCATGCGGCTCTTTACGGGCTGCTTCTTGACGATATGTACGTATGTACAGTATGTACTAAGATGCATTGCGGCTCTTGAAATACTGAATTTTGTACCGAATTGGAAAGAAATGGCTCTTCTTGTTATTTTGGTTGCCGACCCCTGACCAAGACTATTAACACTTTACACAAAAAGACTTTAATCGAACAATTCACACGTTTACTAAAACGTAATAATGTAATTCAATGGCAGCCAACATAACGCATTACTATGTCTGACATCCAATCGAATTAGGGCTGGACACACTAGTTGCACATTTACGAGTCTCTTGTATTATATATAATTGGCTTGTTTTGAGACATGACACGCTCAAAACGCAAACCAGACCGATAACCTTCATAGCCCAGGCAAGAATATTTGGCACTCCGAGTGCCAGGCTACAAGGAAATGCGGGCAAAGAACCTCAACAGACTTCTGGGGCAAGGGCTGTGAGCGAACACCTACCTATGGAGACCGGCAAGGCACACGAGGGGATGGGTGGCTGGCCAACAAAGACAAAGATGCCCTGTATAGTCTTAATAGATTGTTGGGGAAAGTGATGTTAGCGAGTCGGCCGACACGGCACACGAGGGGGTGGGTGGACAGCACCCCACCCGACCGCATTTGTCTCCCCAGTGGCGATGTTTAGACATCCCAGCAGGTACTCATTTGAGGCTGAGTCGACCAAGAGGAAGCCCAGTACAGGATTGAAATATTTCTTCACTGTATCATTCATTGTTCCTGTCGTATTGCTGTATTACTCTTGTGTCAGATGTATTAACATATGTTTGTGCGAGTGTGTTGTGAGTTCGACAGCCTCAAATGAGTACCTGGTGCGGTGTGTAAACATCGCCACTGGGGAGACAAAGGTGGTCGGGCGTGGCACTGGCCACCCACCCCCTCGTCTACCGTTCCGGCCTTCATAGGAGCTCGCTAACATAACTTGCCCCAACAGTCTGTTAAGGCTATACGGGGGGGGGTGGGGGGGGTCTTTGTTTGAGTGTACATCTGTTCAGTTGTTACATGAGGTTGTGGGGGTAATGAATGGAGAGACGTGGGGAATTTGGAAGGATTTGAAAAGACTGGAGCCTGTGACCACATTAAATATCAGAAGCTACGCAGGTGGTTGAGTCTGGAAAGTGCATGGATGAGTGACTGCCATGAATCACAGATGTTACAGGTTTTCATTTTATTTTACCAGGTCAGACCCACTGAGCTAAATAGTGCTTTTTCAGAAGCTACCTGACCACAAATGATAGCTCAACGAAGTGGCTTATCATCATCTGGAAATGTATAGCAGCCAAATGCCCTAAATGCACGTGTTTAAATGTGGAGGGGAAAAACTGGAGGACACGGAGAAAAATCTGCGCGACCACGGGGAGAGATAAAGCAGGCGTTAGGGTCGGAATCGCACCCACGACCTCCTGTACAACAGACGAGGTAGTTAATATCTGGCCATTAAATTGTGCGGAGGGCCCTCGTACAAAGGCTGTTTCACGTACATTCTATTTATGTGAAAAGGCAGAGGAGTGGGGAGCTTGGCCAGTGTGGAAAAAATGTTGCGGCAAATTTACCTGAAATCAATTGAGTTGAGGGCCAAGAACATTCCAGCCAGCAGAAGGGCTTCGTCTCCAAGCATGGCTGCTCCTTCTCCATAAAACCTCCTGTGGGCCCATGACAACAACGGCACCCACATGCCATTATTGTTACATTTCGTGTGCACACAATCGCCTTGCAGCAATCTGGCTGAGGAGGATCCATTTAGCTCAGGATGAGGGCATCTCGTCCGGACAAGCATTTATCATGGGACAATTGCCCAATTTTAATAATAACACGATGTAACACAATTTTTGTTCCTGGGTAGTGTTATTTCGTAATTGCTTATGCTCTAAAAAGTGTATAAAATGGCTATTATTCCCCACAAACTTTGCTTTTGTGACCAGGACAGTGATATTTTGAAATTTACATATTTTCAATGAGAAAATGGGCGAATTTGTATCTTTTCGTTCACATCAAGTCAGAAAACAACAACATGCATACCAATTAACATGTATTTATATTAAAGTAAGACAAAAAACACGAGAAAAGATTTATAAGTGAGTAGGTTTTCGAGATTTACGATTATACTGTAAATCACTTTCACGAATCAGCCCCCAAATGTAGTCTCCCATCATGTTCTCGTTATATTGTCCTTGATAGCGGCGTTCAAAGTCCAGTATATCCTGGTGGAAGCGCTCGCCTTGCTCCTCCGAGTACGCTCTCATGTTCTCCTTGAATTTATCAAGATGAGCATCAAGGATATGGACTTTGAGGGACATACGACAGCCCATTGTGCCGTAGTTCTCCACATAGTTTTCTACCTCGTGATTGCCCAGGAAGCCACGAACCACTGCGACAAAGCTGTTCCAAGCCGCTTTCTCCTTACTTGTGAGCTTCTTGGGGAATGCATTGCACTCCATGATTTTCTTTATCTGTGGTCCGATGAAGACACCGGCTTTGACCTTTGCCTCAGACAGCGTAGGGAAGAAGTCTTGAAGGTACTTGAAGGCTGTCGACTCCTTATCTACAGCTCTGACAAATTGTTTCATAAGGCCCAATTTGATGTGCAGTGGTGGCATTAGCACCTTCCGGGGGTCCACCAGTGGCTCCCACTTTACGTTGTTCCTCCCCACAGAGAACTCGGTCCGCTGTGGCCAGTCCCGCCTGTGGTAGTGCACCTTGGCGTCCCTGCTGTTCCAAAGGCAAAGATAGCAGGGAAACTGGGTATAACCGCCTTGGAAACCCATCAGGAATGCCGCCATTTTGAAGTCTCCGATAACCTCCCAGCCGTACTCATCATACTTCAAGGCGTCGAGCAAGGTCTTGATGCTGTTGTGATCCTCTTTGAGGTGCACCGAGTGAGCCAGGGGAAGAGACGGGTACTTGTTACCATTATGGAGAAGCATGGCTTTGAGGCTCCTGGATAAGATGTCAATGAAGAGGCACCACTCATTCTGGTTACAGGCGATTCCGATTGCCTCGAACAGACTGGTCACATTGTGGCAGAAGCAGAGCCCATCTTGATGGGTGAAGAAGTTGCAAAAATGTTGGTGACACTTCATCTGATCTGCGACTTGCACACTTTCATCCAACAAGTTCCACTGCTTGAGCCTAGACGTCAAAAGTTCGGCATTGGACTTGGCGAGACCAAGATCTCTGATCAAGTCGTTGAGGTCTTTTTTGTTGTAGTATGGGTTTCTCTCCTCAGCTCCACCTCTGAAATTGTCATCTGGATCTACAACGTCTTCCTCGCTGTGACTTGCTGCTCTCTTCTAAAGATGGCTGCTCTTTCTCCGGAGGAGTGGATATGGGGAGCTCATGGCAGTGTGGCACCAGGGTGATAGATGAAGGTCCGGATACGTGATAGTTGGTACATTCTTGCCAGTACGACGTTTGGAAGGGTCCACCATGCAGAAGTAGCAGTTGCTTGAGTGGTCAGTGGGTTCCCACCAAATTCTTGAGATAGCAAAGTTCATAGCTCTCTTTTCCCCTCTGTACCATCCTACAAAAATACATGTATTTCACCCATGACTAATGTGTAAGAGATTGTCGCAACATTTTCATACATGATATCTTTTTTCAATTAAATTGAAAATTGTAAAACATTTCAAAATGAAAAACTTTCACAAATCAAATAAAAAAAATTTAGAATATAAAATTCTGAGCAACAATTGTACATCTTACCTTCCAGAGTTTTTTTGCATTGCTCGCAGGTGAAATGAGGTGCCCAAAGTTTGTCTTAATCCCCGACAGGCATGCAGAAATATGCCTTGTAGGCCTCACACATCTTAGCAGATGCTTCCACGAAGTACTTTTTCTCTCTTGCCTTGATAAATTGGCCGCAGACATAGCAAAATGCGTCTGCCAGATGCTGGCAGCCTCTTGATGCCATTTCAGAAAATTGCAGATATGTATCCACGTAGGCAGCTGGAACTAAAATGAACTGGTGGGCTTAAGGCCCCTGTATTTATACTGCTATTTATATTACTGGAAAGTTCTAGAATGTTCTAGAAGTTACTACATGTTTACTCAGCACTGAATCTATCTGAAATTCATATTGTATGGTTCTTTCAGTATAGTCCGCCCCCCCGTTCCTAATGACGACCGCTTGTGTTGCGATCTAAATGTCGTGATATTATATTTTTTTGTAATCACTTAATTTTAATTTTCATCATTATTATTTTATTGTTAATATTGTTTCTATCTACGTGACTTTACCGAAAGAACCATAGAATATTAATTCATGCAGTCACGAAAGTTTAAAATCAAAATCGATCTGGAATGTTCTAGAAAATAGGTAAATTTTAAAATATCACTGTGCTGGTCACAAAAGCAAAGTTTGTGGGGAATAATAGCCATTTTCTGTACTTTTGAGGCATAAGCAATTCGGAAATAACACTTACTACCCAGGAAAATATTTTTGTTACACAGTGTAATACAACTCTTATGTCCCTACAAAATCAGCAAACGATTGGCTATTTCAATCTAGATTTGAAGTTTTTGTGACTGCAGGGATCCATACTCTTTGATTCTTTCGGTAAAGTCACTTAGGTATAAAATAAATTAAATCACGACGTTTCGGGCGCAACACAAGCGTCCGTCATCAGGTGGGACAACCACAGCAAGAAACATTGCAATTGTTTCTTTACCGAAATAACCAAAGAGTATGGATTGACTACTTATTTGAATAATATAAGGTATCTTCCCCCCCCACCACCCGAGATTGAGCATAAGGCAAGCTAGTTGTGTGTACCAACAGTGCACAGTGAGGGATGTGAGGGTGAGATACGACCCAGGTGAGAGGGCACCTCCAAATCCAACAGGAGTGTGCGCTCATTGCAAGGACACACAACACCACGCAACCATATGGGGACATCACACCGGCGATTAAATACCCCACAATAGATAATGGAACACTGACTAATTGACAACAATCAGCAAGAGATAAGTCCTGATTGTGAATGTGGCACCCATTCGAGAAAAGTGCCTAGTTAATGAAGCATTGTATTTATTATTCAAGGGGCAAAAAGAATGAAGGACAACTGATTTTCTGGAGATTAAATATTCTCCTTTGGGAAATGTGTTGACCTGGTTTTGGCATCTGCGAGACATTCCCTGCAGAATATATCATGCTGTTTGAAGGTGTTTGTGACTATTTCCCTCCATGAATATTACAATAATAATGATAATTCTATATATTTAGCCAGGAATGCCCGAGTCTCAAGACTCCTGTTATGGAGAGTCCTGCATAGGAACGTTGGCAAATTAAATTTCAATGAGTATTTGCACATAGGAGGAATGTGAGATTTTTTCATAAAGACTTACATTCTTTGCAAGCCTACTAGATAAAGGCCTCCACATGCCATGTCGGTAATGGCAATCTGTTTAAACCATACTACGCCATGCTGGTCAGTGCAGTTTGGTGAAGGGAAGGCCCTTCACCAAAACGTAATCACAACTCAGATAAGTGAAATTCAAAGTGGAGTGCACAACTTCGCCACTACTCCAGTCTGGGTGTTTAGTACCCCAGAGGGCCCAGGAGAAATGAAGGGCACCATGCCCTCTCAGACACCTTACAGCTCGAGGAAGAGTCAGTAAATTGGATGACTGTAATTCAACCACATTGAATATTGGCAATGACAGCGAGACATGGGATATGCAAAGCAGGTTTCATTTAATTAATATTGAGTTGAACAGTTAGTGATTTGTATTCACAATTAGGCAAGAGGAGTGGCACTCCAAAACTAATAAACACATCAAACATTGTTAAGATACACATAGGAAATCTTAATTTGGAGCTTTCGTGACTGCAGGAATTAATCTTTGGTTCTATCGGAAAAGTCACGTATAAAGAGAAAACAATAAATTAGGCTTTTACTTAATTTATTATTTTATCTTTATACGTGACTTTACCGAAAGAACCAAAGAGTAACACATAGGAAATATAACCCCTAATCAAGTGATGTATGTCAATCCATTGTGGGTTTTTCCATGTATTTCTGATGTTGCATGCAGCATGTGATGTTTACGTGTGTTTGCGGCGACTCGAGTTCGATTCCCGCTCATGGCAAACATCAGTGACGAACTGGTCCTCAGACTGCCCAAGGTCGATGCAGCCTTAAATGAGTGAGTGTATGGGTGTGTTAACATCGGCACTCGGGGAGACAAAGGTGGTCGGGTGTAGTGCTAACCACACAACCTCCTTGTGCACCGTGCCGGCCTTCTTCAAAGGTCCCCTGCTAAATGTACTTGCCCCAACAACCTGTATAGGCTACATGGGAGATCTTTGCCTTTGTTTAGGAGGGTAATATTGCATAATTGATGTTCTTGCATGGGAACGGGTTACCTTGAGCAAACCTCTTGAAGGCCGCAAGGATACACGAAGAAGTTGGAGTGAAACATAAAATCGTGTTTGTTCAGACATTGATCAATGCATGGGGAAATATAACTTTGCAGAAAAATCGTTGTTTCGCTGCCCTGTACATTAGTGTAATGAGAGAGCGCCATCTAAGGGACGACGAGGGGTAATTGCATAGTCACTGCTGGGTAACTACTATCCAATGAGAAGGGTTCAATCTGGGCCAAAGGTAACGGGCGGAGCACGTGGGTATGTACGGGAACCATC